TGGGTTGAAGGTTGAGGTATAGGTTGTTATGGTTTGGGTGCGGGGGGTGAAGCATGGTTTTCAAAATGGAAATGATATCAGCCTTACGAAAAGGGGCCTTGATCCGAAGAAGCTCAACATCCCCTAAACCAGAAACCCGAAACCCAAAGCCCTAAACCCTACTATCGACCCTAAACCCTACAGGTTTGGGGGGTCAGGGTTGTTTCGTTCCTAAACCCTAAACCCTAAACCCGAAACCCTAAGCCCTAAACCCTGAACCCTCAACCCTAAACCTCCCCGTCTGGAAATGGAAATCTTCCCCTTGAACAATCCCGGAGCCGCAGACTCCCCGCAACCGTTTAGGGTTTAGGGTTTAGGGTTTTTAGGGTTTAGGGTTTTTAGGGTTTAGGTTTTTTAGGGTTTAGGGTTTTTAGGGTTTAGGGTTTTTAGGGTTTAGGGTTTTTAGGGTTTAGGGTTTTTAGGGTTTAAGGTTTTTAGGGTTTAGGGTTTAGGGTGACGAAGTTGATTTGGGTGATGTGATACGAATGCTGCGGGATTCGGGCTCCTGGGACGATTAGGGATTCAAGGAGGTGCCCCGAGAGGAGGTTGGGTCGGGATTTCATGAAGGACCAACATTGGTGAAACCGTAGGGTTTAGGGTTTATGGTTTGGGGAAGGTTACCTACTCTATTAACTACTCAGACAATGAAGCGATTAAGCTGGGCTCACCAAGGACCAGCCCAGGCAATGATTCAAGCTAGAGTGCTCCTAAGAGGGCCAGGGATTAGAGATTATAGGGTCTAGGACATTTGGGTCTCCGATTTCGCATTAGGCATTACCATAAGCAAGAGTTGAACACACGCAACCCGCAACAATTTCGGCCTGGAGGAAACGTGATCGCAACATGCCTGAAGAACCCAAGAATTGTTTCCGAAAGGAGCACTGTAGTCAATAAGACTCCACACGAATCTACTCTGGACTCGAAGCTCTGTCTCACACATCCGGACAACTCACGAAACTTCTCTGTTTTTAACACCCGAAACCCCAACACTACAGCCTTGGAACATAAACCTCCAACCCAAACTCCCAAACCTATTGCCCATTAACAGTTGACCTCACCCCGACTTCATCCTACCAAAAACCAGCTTTTCCTAGGGTCCCGACAAATTCTGCAGTCTAGGGCTTAGAGTTACGGTAGGTTCAGGGTAAGCCGCAAACACGCAAGCACGAGCCTGCAGAGCCAAAGCAGACTCCCATGTCCCGGCAGAGGCGCACCTCGCTGGGACTAAATGTTGATCTGGTTGAATACCGAGCACGTTCGTTAATTGTAGCATTTAGCGTGTAGTGTGGAGCTTAAGGGTTTGAGTTTCGGCCAGTTTCGGATTTAGGGCTAAGAAGCTTAGGAAGGTGTAAGATGGAAAGGGCTTCGACATAGAAGGCTCACGGTTTCGGGGTGTGAGAAGTGAGAAGAGCCAGAGTGAAGGCTTAGGTTCAAGCTTTGGGTGTGCAGGAAGGATCCATCACGACGGTCCTCTTGCTGCGCGCTCTCGCGCGTTAAACGTGGCGTCGTGTGCATCCGGACGACGACGTCGTGGCCAACGGTTGTGCCACAACTCGGGCCTGTGGCAGCCAAATCCCACAAGGACCGCAACGTCGACAGCAGCACAGCGACAGTGACGTCAGGTGATGGCGGCCTGAACTATCAGAACAGGGTCTTCTTGTATATGACACGATATTGAAAATACAGAGGAACCCGAAGGAATAGTTCTGGTAATTATCCAGGCCCCTTTTTACAACCAGTAGCTAATACCTACTTTCAAGTGTAAGGTCTTACAAACGGTACCAAATATGGGGGCGTTAAATAATTATAAGAGGGTCTTGAGTTATATTACAGTATACTGAAACTATAGGACCCTAAGCAATAATATAGGCAATTCTTCAGGCTTCTACAGTACGGCAGGCAGCTTGGAGCAACCACTAGGATGACACAAGCGGCTGGTGCCGCACTTCGTTTGCGACTGCCTTGACAAGGGATCTACAGTAAGGTGTCTACAATCAGGTTTCTTTAAGGATTTAGGTGCCACTTCTAGCAAATCCTGCCAAAAAACCATACCAAGGACTGCGTGAAATATGCTTGTGGCACCAAGAGAGCTACATTCTGAAAAAGGTAAAATTTTTCGGGCTACAGAAACATCCTACATATGTATTGCCATGAAGAATGGATGCAAGAGGCTCATATACAAGCCTAAATTATTCCATAGGGTTCCTTATTATAGCTACACTAGACCAAAACCCTTTCCTAGTCATTCTAAGGCCCCTGCTTTTGTAGGTAAACCCATAAGTTCAAAAGAGTCCAGTGTCGAGCTGGCTCGTCTCTCGCTCTCTCTCTCTCTCTCACTCTCAGAGATACATAAATGTATGTACATCTATACAATATATGTGTATATGTATAATATATATATATATATATATATATATATATATGGGCCTTCTCGGTCTAATACCGGGGCCTTATTAATTGGAATTATAGGG